AAACAGCATAAAACGCTAATGCTAATCAACTGCATGAAGCTCGACAATCTAAAGAAGTTAGTAGGTAAGTCCGAAAGATGTTACTTGGAGGCCTTTTTCACCTGCAAGGCACACAAGCCTGAGCATCCTTTCAGAGTAAGCGTTTCCGAGAGAACGTCCAGGTAGCAACAGGTAGGAAGATTTCTTCAAGACAATTTTAAAAAATTGACTTTTCAAAATCCGTTTCTCATAAGAAGCTCCTCGGATTTTGTCCAGGAACTGCGGGAACTTTTCTGCTGCAATGTGTTGAGATTTTCAGTAGATGTTGTTGACCTGTACTACTCTTCCTTGTGACGGCCTTATTTTTGCTGTCAAGAAATGTTTTGAAGAACAGGAGGTGAATTTTCAGAATAAAATAGGCATGAACTCTTAAAATTTTATAACGCTTTTAGAATTTTATCTGAATTCAACTACCATCAAATTCGATGGGCAATTCCTGATCCAACACACTGGCATATGTATAGGTTCATCATTGGCCCCACTTCTTTGTGACATCTTTTTATTTGTTATTGACAAAAGCATTTCTGCAAGCTTTGCATGCGTACCTGTAATCATAGTGTATCGCGATGTTGACGACTGCCTTGTACTTGTAGGAATATCTGGACAAACGTGTTTTAATGACAACGTTGAAGCCGTACTCAACGTATTCAAAGAGCACTCTTGGGGGCTCAAGTTCACATTTGAATTGACAAAAGACAATGGTATCCAATTCCTAGACATCCGCCTTTCTTTTTCTGATAATGTCCATACTTGCTGGTACTATCCGCCCAGCAGTGCAAAGAATGTCCTGCCTTTTGATAGTGGGCATTCTAAATTAATAAAAAGAGGAATCGCCACCACGTGTATTCAGGCCACCCTTCAGAAGTCATGTGAGCACAAGGGGGAAGTCAGCCTCAAAAACCACATTAAAAGACTAAAAATGCTGGGTATCCGAACAGCATCATCACGCCTGTTTGCGAAGCCCTCCTGCAGAAGGTTAGGATGAACAAAACGGGACCAAGAGAAAAACAGAATGACCAAAGACCTTTGCATGTTATGCCGTACGTATATAAAGTGTCTCACAGTTTGAAGAAAATTGCGACTAGATATGAAAATAACTTATTATTTTTCATCCCTTGCAATCTTTCAATAGCCTGTGTACTAAACAGAAACAAGAATAGTAAATCTTGCACTATCAATAACGAGATTATATTTACTGAATGCCAGTATAACGTCGTATATGAGATATCGTTGACACGTAAAAAAGTGAACATAGGACAAACGAGGTAATGCTTCAGTGATCGAGCAAGACAGCATACGTTAAATGTTAAGAATAGCTATGGTAGTCTCATGGCCGTACACTGTAAAAAAAGCATGTGTAGTCCTATGTTTCAAAAAACACTGTTTCTGAAAAAGCAAGAACAAAAAACAAAAGAGAGATCTTAGACGCAGAAAGTTTAAGGATCAATGCATCAGTACACCCTTGATTATCCTTTTCGAAAGAGAGTATTCTTTTCTCAGTTAAGATCATGCTATCATTGTCACACATATATCATCACGCATGAGCACTGTTTTCTGTACTCTGCATAAAAGCGGTCGTAGCACCTTCAATAAAGTTTAGTTGACAGTCAGTGCTCTTTCCTGTCCCTTTTTTGTCCCTTCCTGAAGTTGTCGCACTGTTACTAGAACATAACAACGATGAACCAAGTCGCCCAAATTAAGCTCTTGTCGGGCAAAGCACTCGCCAATTGCAATTGACAGACAGTGTGCAAAAAAGGGTCATGAACATTGCGAACACCTAAAAAACGGTTTATAATCTGTCTGCTTCTGAAAGCAGCGAAACTAGCTTTCGCCGCTTGGAAATGCAGTGAAAGCAACTTTCAAGCTTTACAACCACAGGCACCCTGTACACGTGATTCACAATATTACAGGAATATTGCCGTAATAGTGCGTGATACAAACGTACATTGCCATCGGACCTCAGAACATGGATCATAATGACTTCATAGTTTAAAGTCAGTCACTCACTACAAGAGACACACACACTGCTGCACCTGTTGCAAATAAAGGAAGAAGAAGAAGCGGTGGGTGTGAACACGAGCCATGGGTGCTGGCTCGCTCAGTTGATTTTTGGACCCTAAACGCAGCCAGACCGTCAGGTCCGGGTCCCCTTCTTCGTTTCTCACACTTAGTTTTGGTGCCGAAACCCACCCGGTCGTCTTGCCCTCGACTTCGACAATGGGTCAACTCCGAGTACAGCATGGCTTCTACCAGACAGCCGTCACCAAGGCAATATCGACTCTCGACACTCTACTGGCGGACTCGGTGACCCCTGCTCGCAGTCTCCAGGAGCTCATCGAAATTGATTGATTGATTGATATGTAGGGTTTAACGTCCCAAAACCACTCTATGATTATGAGAGACGCCGTAGTGGAGGGCTCCGGAAATTTAGACTACCTGGGGTTCTTTAACGTGCACCCAAATCTGAGTACACGGGCCTACAACATTTCCGCCTCCATCGGAAATGCAGCCGCCGCAGCCGGGATTCGAACCCGCGCCCTGCGGGTCAGCAGCCGAGTACCTTAGCCACTAGACCACCGCGGCGGGGCAAGAGCTCATCGAAATCATTGTGGACGAAAACGCTCACCTCATTCCCTTCGACAAGGTGATTCAAGCTGCGCTAGATGTTAAGGACCTGGAGGCAGACTTGACTATCGCTAAGGAATACGAAGATCGATTCATCTGCGTTCAAGCAATGGTTCGCTGCGCAACCGCGCCGCGGCCGCGAACCCCACCCGTACCCGTCACAGTCACATGCACCCAACTCAGTAAGCCTCTCGCCTACACATTGCCGCCCGCAGCGACGTCGTCTTCGATAAGCTTTCCGACCACTCTCACCTCGACATCGAAGCGGGTAGCTACTTCGTCTTCATCCGGTCTGTCGACTCCTCTCTTTTTGACGTCGCAGCAGGCCGCGACTTCGCCGTCAACCAGTCTCACTACTCCTCTCGTCTGATTGTCCCAGCGGACCACGACATTAACTTCTCAAGACCTTCACTGCAAGGCCAGTATCTCGCATAGGACTAACCCAAGCTACGCAATTCATCGCGAACAAGACTACAAACAACTTACCTCGAACACATCCCCACCACTTGAAGAGTTTCGGGTACACGCTAGAAAAACTGTCCCTATCCACGTAATCCACTGTGCTTGGGTGCGAGGACTCATTCGGAAGATGCGCCATGGAGGATGAACTGGGCAATCTCAGAAGCTGAACCTGTTGTGACCGCTGCTGTCTCGGCGTAGCGCGTCAAATGGTCAACGACTGTTACTATCCACCGGTTGCCAGCAGCACTGACTGAAAGGGGGTCATAAAGATCAACGTCTACAACTTCGATTAGTATGGCTGGGCACAGAAGATGCTGTATTGTACCGGCTGGAGCAGATGTTGGTAGTTTTTTACATTGTCAGGTAGTGCAGGACCCGACGTACCGAGCAACGCTAGTGGTAATGCCTTGCCAATAAAACCGACTTCAAAGGCAACCATAGGTTTTATGGTAACCAAGGTGACCAGCAGTCAGATGGTCATGAAGCGCTCTGAGGACTTCGAACCGAAGCGATCTGGGTAGAACGGGAACGCAGTGTTGACCGTCAGGATGGTGAATTTCGCGCTAGAGCACCGAGTTGTTTACCTTAACCTGGGAGAGTTGGCGACTTATTCTCGCGTTAGGTGGACAGGAACTGCCAGTGAGTTAGCCTATAATACGCCGACAGTATGGATCAGCCAGCTGTCGAGAAGGAAAATCGTGGGGGTCATCCGAAGGCACCTGGTCTATAGAGGCGAGAGAGGGAACCGCCGTAGATGTAGACTCCGAGGGTGTGTTGTGCAAAGTGATTGCAGAAGCGCCGAGTGGAGCCGCTGGTAGTGGGCTGCGAGAAAGAGCGTTGGCGTCACTATACTTTCTACCACACTTGTACACGATGTCAAAATCATACTCTTGGAGGCGTAGAATCCGGCGGCCGAAGCGTCCTGGTTCGTTCGCGGATTTCGGCACCAGAACAGGGTGAGAAACGTAGAAGGGGACCCGGACCCGATCGTCTGGCTGCGTTGAAGGTCAAGGTATTAACTGAGTGAGCCAGCGCCCGCAGCTCGTGCTCGTGCCCACCGCCCCTTCTTCCTCCTTTATCTGCAACAGCACCTTTATGGCACGTCGTGGGTGCGTAGCATGTTCAAAAAGATTTCACGCACTAAGTATTTGAAGTACACACTAGGAGCAGAATATCGCTGTCACGTTTAACTCTTAAAGAAGCTGAAGGGTCCGCCAATGGTTTTGTTGAAATTAAGGATTGTTTGCCCGCTTTGCGTTCACTTCACGTCGGAAAGGCAGGCAGCAGTCGAAAATGACGTAAGAATGAATTAAGAGTGACTCAGGACACGTCGTTCCCCTGCGCCAATTGCTGTGAATAAATTCAGAGTTGGTTTTTGGGTGGCGTTACAGTTTTCATGATAGATGAGTCTTACTTCGCTTCTCAGAAGTATACGTTATATAAAATTTTACTCTGATACTTTTGTATTAGATTAAAATATCGGAACCATTCTCTGTTGCAATGGTCAGCAATGACATAATACAGGGGGAGAATACTATTGTGAAAGGCTACCACCTCATTTACAATTCACTCATATTTATTCGAAATGTGCTTTGTCATGCCTGTTATAAAAGCGCCTGCAAACTGCGTTAGATGCATATAACAGTCTGTTGCTGGCAGCAAAGTGATTGCCTAATAACTTCCTGTAATTAAAATGTTACAGGAACCATAATTACCCTAATGGCACGTTTTCCTATGATGTCATAATTTTTGTCCAGTAAAGAACGCTATAGTGTTGAAACTGCATACTTTATTTACTCAATGCTAAATGACACAAAGTGTCTTTCTATGCTTCATCTAAGTCTATATTTTTGTCTTGAAATCTTCTTTTTCAGTGCTGTTCTAGGTGTTATACTCATTCTATTGGTTTTCGGTACATTGACCGATCTCTATGCGCCGAAGCAGAGCAGGGCAACAGGTGAGTCCAACAAGGAGGCATGCTTCGCGTGGAGATAAAGTAATATAGTACACATATATAGATAACCAATGGCGAATGGTGCTTGGTCCTCCATGACCGTAAAAATAATGTTGCCTTACTAAATAGGGCTCCTACAGTTTCATGTATGCTGTGCACTATTGTGTATTTTATTCATTATAGCACCACCATATGATCTTTCATCTGTTGGTTGAGCAAGTGTGCTCAAAAGCCAGTCATATAAGTCTCAAAATGCTGCCTGCAGTTTGGAACATTTAGAGTATATTACCACACCTATGTATACACTCCGTGTCTATAACCTCATCTCATATAAAATGTTTATGCTTTAATCAGATGACTTTGTCGAGCTAAGCATTTCTATTAGAAGGTCCGTAATTCACACTCTGTTACTTGTCAAGCGTACTTGCGGTCTCAGTAACATAGTTGTGGCGCTTTTTGCGCACCCACCAGACACTGCAAGGGAGCTTTTAATAAGCTTTTGGCTCCTTTAGTAGCCTAACGCTAAAGCTCCCTTCAAAAGGAGCTTTTGTTTGCACTCTTTGATGAAGGAAAGAAAGGGTTAAATTTTAAGTATAGTAAAACTCAAAACCAAAATATATAGTATTGAAAAACAGTGGGCGTTGATAATTACGTATCTGAACGTAGTCGGTGCAGAAGACTGAGGCACAAAAAACATATCGTGAAGGAGGAAGAGCGGAAGAGAAGAAAGAACAGCGCCAACAACCAACTGTTTAATGACCGTCTATGAAACGCACAGGAAAGAAGACAAAACCACGTATGCGGGCACAGCCAAACAAACATCGCACAGCGTCATGATCAAGGCACTAAGTTATCCGAATACTGCATTTCTGTTGAGTAGAATACAATAGATGTATCACTGATACAATCGGGCCCTTTCTTTTTGATAACATAGGCTTACAAGAGCTCTCTAGCTGTTTGTTTTTTTTTTTTCCTACCAAGAATCACCGTTTTCTCAAACAATGGCACACATCTGCAGGCTTTACAGTGCGCTGAAAGATGCGCATGATCCCTTTTCCCTAAACTATTTCCTGAACTTTACAGCGCACTGTAAAGTTTAGGAAATACGCATGCGCGGTTTTGTCTTCTTTCCTGTGCGTTTCCTAGACGGTCATTAAACAGTTGGTAGTTGGCGCTGTTCTTTCTTCTCTTCTGCTCTTCCTGCTTCACGATACGTTTTTTTCGCCTCAGTCTTCTGCACCAAGCATGCACCAACTAGCCCGAAAACATGTCCTTTTGGAATTCCGAACGCAGTCGTTTGTAAGTAATTATGGCATTTTTTGGAACTAATTTAAGGGACTTCAATGTAACACAGTGGGATTTTGGCTTCCCTTGACAGCTTTTTAGGCCCCTTTTACACGATGCTCTTCAGCGGTAGCCAGATAAAAATGTATACTTGGCACCATATTGGCTTTTCACAAGGATGTTGTAAATAATTACTGGGACATATCGTAAGATGGGCACCAATATACTGGGAGTTGAAAGTTAACCTTTATAGTTTTCCTAAAAATCAGTACTTGAAATAACATAATAACCGCCTTCGCAGATAACTTATGTGTGCAGTGGAACACAAAGTGAGGCAGTAGTTTTGGCACTCAGTGGCCTAATTAACCAAATAACTAAGATTTAATAAGCAATTTTTAGTGATGACGGGAAGGGGTCATAATTGTATTCAAAAGTTAGAGGCAGTCGCATTTCTAGAGAGTTACACTGGGAAGAATTCTTCTACCTCACCTGTGCTCCAACACATCCCACGGCAAATTTTATTTGAACTTTGCATGGACGTATAATAATCAACAAAAGTAATTATTATTAATACGCCAAATGTTAAACATCTTTTCAAGAGTAGGATTTTTGGTAGTTCTTCATTTGGAGCTTTGTTTAAGGATTGGCTTGAATTCGTGAATTTACCTTCGGGTCTTGCGTTCCATCCGCATAATGTTATAAAAAATAGAACTGACGATTTATGACACGCACTCCACATGTCTTGGAATTAAGTATTGTGTAAGTGCACTCAGTATTGAGGAGAATTGTAGCCCCTATAACACTCAATTCGGCTAATATTTGTTCATGTGCAAGAGCATGCTACGGTGTTAAAGTGCATTCGAGCACTTCACTGATGAGGATAGGCTGCGCCGCAATAATTCTTTCCTTCCAGTTGTCGATTCCCAATAGTAAAAAAGAGACTATTTAGTCCCATGACTTACTTCTTCTCCATGGGTGGTCAGATAGTTCGGGATTCGCGGCGCCCACAATTTCACCCATAAAGATTCGGCTATTTTGTTTAACAATTTTTGAATGCACAGGAAACAGAAGCGGTGCAGGAAAAGTGACATTAGGTGCTCCGTTTCATCCGCGCCCATTTTACGCTATACTACCTTTGCAAGAACATTCACCCAATATTGTATTTTATTGACGCGGTTAGATGATCACTGCCTGTTGTGCGCCTTCAGAATATAGTGGAATACACTTCAAAAGAAAACCACAGATAAGACAGCAACCTTGAAAAGTCGGACCATTAAATAACCGCAATATAGTCCTCCGTCACGTGTGACACCATATTCGCCAATGGAATCACAGCGACGAGTTTCTACAGCTTATTAGAACGTATTCTTAAAGCCAGACTCGTGCATTCTATACAATTTTGTCCTGGTAGCTGAACAGCTTCGCTAAAAGTGTGGTTTGCTTTACAGCTTGCACACGAAAAAAAAAACAAAAAAAGCCCCTGCCTTGAAGCACCTGTTTAATTATCAAGGGTAGCAAATTTTGTTAATTACATATCGCTATCACTCGATGCTAGTTAATAAAATTCGAATCGAAAATTCCTGACTTCTTTGTCAGAATTGTGTTTAAAGCTGATTTAACTATCTGGGCACAATGCAAACTGTGGTAGCTTTCTGAGCACGTATTTGCAATCTACTACTTGTCTTTAGAGTTAGCTGCATGAAAGTTAGAACACAGCATGAAAACGCAGCATGACAATCACCTGTAACTCTTCTTTTCACCTTGCCATTCACGCGACAGTGGCGGGACGTTTGCTGCGGAGCTTCTCGGTACCGGCCAACTTGAGGTTACTGACAACGGCGACCAAGAAATCCTCGGAATCATACAGCCATCGCTTCATGCATGGTATACGTGCTGTGAGCATCTTCCACGTAGTTTTCGGCCACGCCACCTGTGAATACTCGTTTGCCAGCGGTGAGAAATCAACACATTCTTGCTTCTAACTTCTAGCAAGGCTTCATTCTCACTGCAGATTAGCAGAAAATAGCATATTCTTATAACTCAGAATAGTTAAAAAGGTCGTTAAAATTTGCTATGTTGGTGACTCCTTAAATATGTGAACAAAACAAAAAACGGCGTCATCTTTGAACTAGATATCTATGATTTCCACATAGGTGCAAATGTGTACAAAAAAAAAAACCTAGAAACCAAGTGAGAATCTAACCCCAAACTTCTTCAAGGCAAGCAAGTGTCGTAACGCAGAACTGCATCAGTGATTGAAATTGCCTCGCAGAAAAAAGAGGTTATAGGAACTTGCGTAGTGATACCATCAGTTTTACATCCCAAAACTACGATTGGACTATAATAGATGGCGCAGTGGAGGCTTCTAGAAATTTCGACCACCTGGTGTTGGTAAACATGCACTGACCAACACATGGGCCTTCATCGTGTCTGGTTATAGCGCTCAACTGTTCACCCGTGACCTGCGCACAGCATTCTAGCACCGTAATCGTTACGCCCCCGTGGAAGACAGCTTCATGCCGTGGAAGGAGTCTCCTTAACCAACGCTATCTTTACTTTTTCCAATGCCACTGCAAACGCGCTCTTCTCAACGAGAGCTGTCGGTCCACCTTAGTACAGGGAGTGGTTGTGATGCGACGCAACATGACGGCCAGCCCTGCTTGCGTCACACGTGCTTCCGAGCACTTTCCGCGGAAATGTGGTAGACGTGTTTCCCCCTCTAATACCACACGTCTACCATATTTCTTCGTTCGCGCTCGTTCTTTGTGACTCGAAGCAATGCCGCCACCGAATCACAGCACAGCGCATGCAGTAACGTTGAAATGACGTTTCCACATATGTTGCCTGTATAGCGCCATGAACAACGAAAGGCTATCGAAAAACAATGCATCTTCTACAGAACCTGCGTGACCGTCAATATTGTTATTACGAGGAACGGAAGACGCCAACTCACGAATTTGTGGACAACTGAACAAAATACTACTTCGTAAGATATCCGTCGTGAGGCACTACGTGAGGGGTTCTCTCCCCCATGACTTCAAAGCACACGCGAAGACTTGGTGATGGTTGATTGATTGATACGTGGGGTTTAACGTCTCAAAACCACCACATGATTATGAGAGACGCCGTAGTAGAGGGTTCCGGAAATGACCACCTGGGGTTTTAAACGTGCACCCAAATCTGAGCACACGGGCCTACAACATTTCCGCCTTCATCGGAAATGCAGCTGCCACAGCTGGGATTCTATCCCGCGACCTGTGAGTCAGCAACCGAGTACCTTAGCCACTAGAACACCATGGCGGGGCGCGGTGACGGGGAAGCAGGAAAATTCTAGAGGAGAGGATGCTGAACGGCTGGATTGGGTGCATCTGTCTGGCCCTAATAAAAGAGAGAAGGTGTTCGCTTACCGCATGTGATATTTCAAAGCAAAATCGCAGAATCGTACCAGGTGTCAACTCATGGTAATTGTTAAACGAGCGGGTTAAAAGTTGCACAACCATTACAAAGTGTTGATCCACGCAGATGTGCGTGGTGCCCGTATGTACGCTTAGTGGCCAATGCGCCAATTTGAAAAAGGCAAAAGTATCGTGTAGTGGGCACTTCCCAACTGTATTTGCAATAGGCATTCTAGGATAGCTTGAAATGGCCGATTTTAGAAGCGCAAGCGGGCCTCACAAGCCCAAGCGTGAAAAACGGCTTACCGCTTTAAGTGTTGTATACCCTTGTTGACAATACCGTTGTTACCAAACTCTTCAACCTATATTACTGTTCAACATATACCTCTCCTTTCACATATGTCTGTGCGTACACTGGTACCTATCTTTGGCATCATTTCATAACATTTTGTCCAATGAAATTATGGTGTATACAGTCACTTTCGGTGTGCATAACATCGATTCCCAAGGTATGTGGAAGCTGCCGAATTTTTATACAATCTCCCAAGTCACAAGTACACAAGCGCAGTTCCCGACTGCGGTGGCTGCATTATCGATGGAGACGACAATGCATGAGGCCCGTGCATTAGAACGTACTTGTTAAAGAACCCTAGATGATGGAAAATTTTAAAGGCCTCCACGACAGCGTCTCTCATATTCATGTCTTGGTTCTAAGATGTTTCCCTAACAATTGTATTATATTAAACGTTTCATTTTTTACTGCGCTCTCACGTTTTAATGTATATATACAGGAATATAGGCAAAGTAATCATGCGATCATTGGCGCGTGCCCGATCTCGGCAGGCATCAGAAACTCGCTCGCATACCCTTCTATAAACGTCTATAAACGTGCGGTGTTGTCAACGCGACGAGAGCTCTCCTTGAAGCGGCCTTATTTTCTTGCACGATTGTTAATTGAAGCTACGCGAAGTCGCATAAAAAATCTTAGCGGCTAGCTTTACTTCGTATACCACCTATTTGTTTGGTATTGCATACATTGCTTTGTCTCAGTGGTGAAACTTATAGCTCTAAAATTATACAATCACGGCACCAAATACCACAAGCAAACCATAAATCATGTACATGCATTTCCATCTTAGGCAATAGAGAAACGACCTTCGTTGCCTGTCAGGCTTCGTTTCTGTATTGCTTTAATTGAACCGCAAAAGTTAAATGAGTAGTATTTACATTTACTCAGATGAGTTTTTTTATGCTTTCTGAATCAATGGCTTTGGAATAAAATGCCAGACCCGCGTGGAAGACGCAGCACAGTCAGCGGGAGATAGAGAGGTGAAATTCCAGCGACCACTGAAGATTCTTCTAGGGCGACTACAAACAGAGTTGCATGGTACCAGGACATCGATCCTGACGAATTTCAGAAAATAGGGAAGCGCCCATTTGGCCATTATTACCCATTTTGTAACTGTGCAAAAAAAAAAGCAGAAAACACAAAAGTAGAGAAAAGCACAGACAAACTCAGACTATCAACTGAAGTGATATTGCAAGAACGAGGCAATAGGGAAGATAGGCTGACGTTTTTGCAGCGCCGTTTTTTGCCTCCATAGCGGAGAGGGGGCAAAGCTCCGGTCGCTCGGACGGGCCGCGCTTGCTTGGTTTTCCCATAGCACGCACGGAAAACGTGTTACTTGGGGCTTTTTTCTCACATTTCGCGTGCTTTGGGCGCCGCTCTTCGTCCTCCTGAAAAACAGGCACGCGGCGCTTCTACTGCATCGTGAGCTGCTACAAAAGTTTAAAAGTGAAGACAAGCTGAAAGCTGTCTGTGAACTTCAACCGTTTCCAATGCAAGCAGTGCGAGGAGCGAAGGCGCCGAGAGCAGATTATGGCTGTTCGTCGACACTTCCGAGGTCTTCTCACATTGAAAATTTTTCGTCGTGCACAGTATTACCAACAATTAACAAAGAAAACCGTTATGGCCACACTTATATAAAAAAGGAAGTGCGTTTGTAAACTCAAGCTACAGCAAATGAAAAAATGCTGTACATTTCTAGATCGCGCACCGGCTTTCCAAGACAACCATTTGTAATGCGAAAGTGACTGAGCTTGCAAGCTTAATACACCACTGTTGAAATACCGTACCATGAGCCCTGCAACTCTTTTATTCAGCTGATGGCTGTAGACTACTCTTCGCTGCTCAATGTCAACAGATTTATGATGCGTGTTAGCGCTGAGCGTTTATATGTACTGGTATTTCAAGCAACACTTACCGATAAGGCAGCTGGCTGAGGTGTTTTGATGCTACGATCAAAGTTGTGAGTTCGATTCCCGCATACACCAGCTGCATTTGCATGAAAGTGCATCGTAGTAACATTGTAGTTAGATTTAGGTGCAAGAATAGAAGACAGAGGGTGTTGTTTTGTATATTTGAAGGAACGGGGGGTTACGCTCAATGTGATCAGAAGTGGCGTTCGGTGTGTGTGCATCCTCTGTTCGTTGTCGTCGTCGTGCCTAACGCTTCCAATACATTTAGGTGCATGTATAAAAAAAGTCTGTTGGCCGCAATTAACCTTGAATCTGACACTATGGGGTGCCTGCCAATCATATCATGGCTTTTGCACGTAAAATATTATATGCTTGCATGCACCCAAGCTGCTGGCGATATAAAGCTGCCACAATGAAAATGAGTTGAAAAAACCAAGCCCAAAGGGAAATTTATGATGGTCTCGCGAAATTAGACACGGTTATCAGGGGCAAATCTCGGCATACCTACAAGCAAGCTGCGCCCTAGTGGGTATTGCATAATATTACGAAGACCAAGCGAGCTGCGAAAACAACCAAATCAACATTCAAATCAGACAACACACTGCATGGTGAGGCGTGGATATTATTGCGAATTGAAACATGCGCAGCAGGAAACATGCATGGTCGAAGTGTACATAAAATACTTCCTTGTGTGCATCATTATGCTTTCAAAGGAGCTGTAAAAATTCCATTGTGTCATTGAACTCAAGATATGACATGTTAACATCCGATGAATACCTCGGCAAAAGTAAAACTTTTATGAAACTGAACACGGAGTGTTCCAATGGTGCCAGGGACTCACAAAGCAGACGTAAGTTTAGACGTAATTTAACCGCGCGACAAACTAAGCATCCGAACATTCAAAATCCAAACGCTATATACAAACGCACGCGAAAGCGTGGTAGTAGTTCCCTACAGCTCCAAGAAGACACGGCTAGTTGGCAAGGGAAATGCACGTTTTACCTGTAACATACAAATAAATTCGTGCCGTCACTCACATTTAGTGTCATAGAAAGGCGGCTATTCCCAATCGACATGTACATAGCACTCGCACAAAGACATCGTGTTATACTTGCTTGGTCCCGCAAAGGTCATCAATGAATCGCTCTCGATTCTGGTGAGATTCACACGATAAAAAACGTTTTTAAAATCTCTTTCAGAGCAAGTCACAGGCTGAGATGACGCTGCTTGTGCAGGGTGACCAGATAAAAGCGCATGAAGAGTGCGTGAATGTGCTGAGAGTGTGCAGGCAGAAGGCGG